CGAGCTCCTCCGCCAGCTCCCTCAGTACTCTCGGGTGGAATTGAACAGAATTTGCTTTGCTGTGCTAACTGCAAGGATGAGCCCAGAGACAGACATGAGGAAGGTCTGGAGCACAGAGAAAGAAACTGGTAGGCTGTGTGGAGAAGTTGCAGGAAGTATGACACAGACAACAGAGGAAGAAGTATGAGCATAGGAGGGCTGGTCTCAACATCAGCTGTTATAACAGAAGGAACACAATGGTAATTAAGAGTGGATTATTTACAGATGTAGATGTCCAAGTAAGTCAGACACACAATATATTTATGGATCTCCAGTGCAGCTACGATGCAGGTTGGCAATTTCCAAGAGCTGCCACAGGAACACTAGACTGGCTGGAACCTCATCAAACCCTGCTATCTCGAATAATCACACCATAAACTATCAAACATGTTTTTCCAATGCCCTCGGTCTCTCGTCTTCATTGTTATGAGGCATCTTTGCATCTCTTCAGGAATGACCATCCAGCTAGTCTCAGCTGTAGCGCTGTTCTTTTGCAGCACTGTGCTGTACTTTAAACAGCCCTTCCCAGCCTATTTACCAGTGCAGCTGGTTCTTCGTAAGTTCTTTGGAAGACCAGTACAAACCAACATGCTTACTTCCAGCACTTTTTATTTTTTTGGCTACACCATAGAAAGCAAGCTTTTGTGGTTTCTTCTGAAGTCACAGGAGACCAGAAATGCATGTGCAGTTTCATGGGAGAGCACACCAGGGCCCTGGAAAGTGATACCATTACTTCCCTCTCTGCTGGAAATACTCCAAATGACACATTTGCTGCCTTTATTTAGCAGTCATGTGGTGAGCAATACGAAACGAGTTTGCTGAGGCTCAGCTCAATTTCTCCAAAAGACCAAAAACCCTGGCACTTTATTTGGCTGCACCAAGCTCTGTGGACAGGTGGCAAATTACGGGGGCCTGAACCACTCCCCATTCACAAGCCAGTCACACCCAAGAGGCTTTTCTTGCTATGGCTGCAGCAGGGAAGCTGATCTATTTTTTGACATTTTCAGAGTTGACGTGTATAACTTGAAATGACAGAAAGAAAAAAAAAATGGTTCTGGAAATGGTTCATTCAGCCCGAGATTCCCCTAACTATTTGCTATTCATGCAGTCAGTTACACTGGGTCAAACAGTGGAAGAGTAATAGAAAACAACTGAGTTCAAGAGAGACATTTTCAGGGAGACGGTTGCTTCTGATGAAAGAGAATCCAGATTTGTGCTCACTGGAGCAAGAATGAACAAAACCTGCAATCAGTAAGCCTCACAGAGAATTTTTGGATACTGTAAGGTACCATTTTCTTAAACACTAATTAGAGGAAAGAAGAAGGCGGCACATTTATGAATGGATGGACCTGCAGGTTTATCTGCCTGTTAAGAAGCAGATAAGCATACAAGTTAAGAAGCCAGGGTCTATTCGTACTTGCATGGAAGATCTCCAAGTAAATAAATTCAAAAAAGAAAAACCAGCAACCCATCCACAGCCTACCAGTCTGCTAACGCTATAGGAGGCTCCCTAACTGTGGCCCTGAACTACTGCATCAGTATGGCACTGACTGGCTCTGAATCAGTGCCCCCATCCCTTGGTCTTATGTCCTTTCTGCTAGGTACAAAATAAAGATGTCTGTCTTACTCAACTAAAGCACCTCACCGCTTCAGCCAGCACAGTGTTCTTCTCTTCCTGTTCTCGGTTGTATGTTAAATAGGAATGCTTCGTGCACAGGCTCTTCTAAACCTCCTTTCCCCTGAAGATAAACCCCAAGGTTACGTCCTTGCCCTCCCTTCACCCTCGTGATGCTGACTGAGCTACCTGTGAGAGCCACCCTTTCCTTTTCAGCTTTCCAGAAATTCACCCTATGCAAAGCTTGCATGTAAAGCCTGCTCTGGTGGACAGGCACCATTGCTGAGCTGAGAGGGACTCCCAGTACCACGGTTTCAGGTCGTCACGTGATGCTCTCTTTCAGGGTGTCTAGACTAAATTGTGGCTGTGAGTGGGCAATGCTGATGCCTGAATTTTCAGCCCACAAAAGAAATGCCCATCCCTGGTGAATTGCTCAATATGCAGGACGAAAAAGATGCCAAGTTCCTGTGCTCATTCCTTCCGGCAGAGCAAGGAGGGGGGGAAAAGCAAGCTGCTCTTTTCTCCAGACTCCTCTTTGTCCCCTTGCCTGCTCAGCTGACATGGAGAAGCTCATGCACCTCATCTTCTTGGTCGTCTTGTCAGGTAAGAAAGCGTACATAGCCTTGGGTTTCAGTTAGCAGATAGGGTAAAATATTGGTGCAAAACTTAGTCTCTACCTGCACCCTGGATGAGATTACTGATAATGCTATGGGAAAAGACTGCACAGGTATTGAAATAGAGTTGCTTTTTCTGGATGCAAAGGCATCTTCTTAGTCTACCCTTAACTGGTTTAGTGTGGACTTGGTAATGTTAGGTTAATGGTTGGACTGGATGATCTTAAAGGTCTTTTCCAACCTAAACAATTCTATGATTCTATGATTCTTTGTAGCATGCAGTTCTTTGGAAGGCCAATACAAACAGTTATTATGGAGTCTTACTGCCTGTCTATACAGTGCAAGGTCCAATGCAATGCAAGCAGAGGGAACCGGGGGCACTGCAGTGTGTTCTGCACTCTACTCTTCCTCCCCAATTCTATTGCAGGGATGTCAGACTCCTTCCTCAGAGTTTGTTTTTTTCCATTAATTGAACAAAGGGCCAGCAGTGATCCAAGCGCTCAGCTTTTCTCACAGGGATCCTCTTAAGTCAGAACAGGAAACACTGCTGACAGAAGTCTTGCGTGCCTTCTCAGAGTGAAATGTGAAATTGCAAAATCCTATGTTTGCATTTGTAGGGCTTCGAATGTAAATTGCAGCAGCTAGGGTTCAAGAGGAGGAAAATAAAACTCAATGAAGGGGACAGCTCTGAAATCTTGGGCACCTGACTATTTTCAGCTTGGAAAGAAAAAAAAAAAAAAAATCTGAAATGCGAAACAAGGCACAGGACCCAGCTGGCACTCCCAGCTGGCAGCCTTCTCTCTCTAGTCACACCTTGGAGATCCAGTACTTGCAGCAGTGCACAGAAAGGCAACAAAGTCAGGCTTTGGGAGCACAGAAACCTGTCTCAAAAATCTGAATGAGTTTGGAAAAAAGTCCACTATACTTTTTACAGTAGCACACAACAAGGGAGGAGGAACACAAATAGTAAATGATCTGTCAGCAGAATTGGTTGAAAAGATAATGACACAAAGTTTTCCACAGGGGCATCAGTAAATCTTTAAATGTCATGATACTGATCAAGAGATTTTTTGCAATGCTGTTTCTATTTAAAACAAAACCAAAACCAAAGTCCTGGGGCCATCCAGGAACTGAAGGGGCAGAACTGTGGGTGAGGAAGGGTCCGCAAGAGAAATAGGAGAGGTACTTAAAATGTTTAGAGGGATTGTGCAGGACTGGACTAGAAATGCACTGAGGTAAGCCTTGACCAGACCAGCTGAGTGGAGCAACATACCAGAATAAAGACTTGTAGGTGTTGGATACTTGGAGAGCACAGATCCATTTTTATGCCTTCTTGTAGTCAAGCCTGAAAGACCTTCCTTTTCTTTAGTTCACGATTCACTCAGAATGGTTGAAATTATTTTAAGAAGTGTTATTAAAAAGCTCAGCCTGCACAAAGTCCTCACAAAAGCCTAGTTTTTAATTTACTTCTATTTTATCATTACTTATGGTTTTACAGAAAGCACTAGCCTCTGAATTTTTTCACTAGAAATACAGATTTCCACAAATACCATACTGCATTTCTCTCTGGAAGTATTAATAGCTCAGACTGTCCCTTCTGCCTTTGCCTACCATAAAGAGGAATGGAAATTAGAAATAAGGAACTAAGGCAAAAAAAAAAAAAAAAAAAAAAAAAAAAAAAAACAAGCAGCCAAAGACCAGTTGTCAACATGATTAAAATTAGTAGAATTTTAAAAGATAGAGTGAAAAAATTGCTGAATCCCTGGCTTTAGAAATTAGGAGTGGGATTAAGAAACAACCTCCTAAACACCTAGCTGAACACTGGTTTGTAGGTGTCGCTTTGATTCTAGCATTTTCCGGGGGTGCGTTGCTTCTCTCTGGCTGTATAAAGAACCTTAAAACGGGGATAAACTTCACGGGCATTTACTGTAAAGGACCTTTTCCGCAGCAGAGGGTACTCCAGAGCCAAATCTATGAACATATGTGGAAGAGCCGAACTCAAGGCCAAAACCTGAAGCGAGCTGCCTTGCTGCAGCTGTATGCAAGTAAGCAGGTTGGATGTTGCAAAGCAGTGGTGTTACAGCAAGACTAGTCTGACCATAGTTACACAGAAACAATGTGTCATGTCATTATTGGGTCAAGCTATGTTTTTATGAGCTGCCTTGTAGAAAGAGCTTTTAAAAATCAAGAAAGCTTGCCTGATGCCAACTCAATCTACCTTAATGCCCAGCTTCATGCTCCTCAGGACCAGAGGAAAATGCAAGTTTATATTTAATCCCCTAACCATGCTGACAAACTGCTTGCCCTTACTGGGCAGCGGCCCAATGATTACAGAAAGTGCAATGTGCTTTGAGCTCCAGCCTGCAATCCGGAGCAGTCACCACAGGGCCAGAATGGAAGGCAAGGACCAAATTTTCCTGAGCTTCAGAAAATCTGCAAATGTTAATGAAGCTGATACCTCCTCCTTCCCTCAGTCCCTCACACAAGAATAGCTGCCTGGCAAGAGCCAAATAACACACCAGTTGGAGGGATCGCTACAGACGTATTTCAAGAAAGCCTGAACCAAGACTCTGAATCTGAGCACACTGTATCTTTCATGGGGGAAGCAGACAGGTGCCAACCCTACAGTTGACAGCAGCTGTCACTAGAGTTGTAAAAGAGGAAAATGACGTTTACCATAAGGATAGATATGAAAGAGCCTTGTCTCAACACTTCCTCCTTCTCTCCTAGAATCCTGTGCTGTAGAGAATGTCACTGTGGTGTACGGAATGGAGGGGGGCACCATTTCTGTCAACTGCACCTATAACCCCTGGCAGCAGCGGTGGAAAGTAAAGAGCTGGTGCAAGCAGATCGATGAGACCGAGTGCCAACATGTGGTGAGTGCCCGACGCTTCTGGCTGCCGTTCCTGAAGAACAGGAATGGCACTACCTCCATCAGTGACAATGTCCATGAAGGGGTCCTGACAGTGACCATGAAGCGACTCAAGAGGCAGGATGCTGGGTTGTACCAGTGCAAAACTGACTACCTGGGGGAAACAAACAGCTTAAGGAAGGTGCAAGTGGAAGTGCTGACAGGTACGTCCTGGGGCTCCAAGCTTCATGAGTTCCTGAGTTTGTACTTAAATTTCACATGTGTCTGCAGATGCCAAGGCCTCACTTTAGTAAACATCTACTTTTGTCTTACTCTAAGGAGGTAGCGTGTTTCACTGCCTCTTTTTAGTTCCTGATTCACAGCAACAGATTTACCTCACAGTTACAGGACATCTAACACATGTCATCCCCTTACTGCTACTCAGATTAATCTCCTACCATACAGCCCAGTGCCCAATCTCACCTTGGTCATCTATACCTAACTGGGGCACTGGTGTTGATGACACCAATGAATATCACCCAGAAACATCTGCAGACTGAACGGTTCTGTTTCTATCATCAGCTGTACTGGAGACCCAAATGCCAGAGGAGCCTAGTGCTGTGCAGAGCATCTCCAGGTAAGCCATAAAACTCCTCATGCTGTGATCCCTAGTCTTCCTGGGACTAAGGCAGATTAGCATTGGCAGCCCCATTTGAAGCTGAGAGGAATACCACCACAGGCATATTCTCTACCTCTTCGTAATGCATGACAATTCTCAGAGCTGCTGTGTGGTTTCTAAACAGCAGCTTTATGCTAATCCAGAAAATGCAGTGCTTCGGTGCCAAGCAAAACAACTCCTGCAGGTCATAATTTATCCACGTGTGAGATCTTGCAGTTAAAACCTATTATAGTTGTTCTAACCTCCCAGGCTCTGTTGTGCATAGGCAGGGACTGCCTGTTGCAGATGGTAACATCTTCACATTGTACACTACAAGAGTTTCTTTAAAGGTTGCACCATCCCCTTCATGGCTAAGCTTTATTGTTGTATTTATGGTTCCCCATAGCATCCCTCCTGAAGCTGATTTCACTGTCTTCTATATCATTGCTGGATTCCTGGTTACGAAGTTCACGGTGGCTGTGCTGATCTTTATCATTGGCAACAGCAGGAAGAACAGAGAAACAGAGGAAAAGAACCCAAACTTGAATGAGCAGCAGGCCCTCCCTTTCACTGGTGGCCTTGCACGTGATGGAATCAGCCCCTCCTGGGAAAGCACTGCTTAGAGCTAAACCGAAGGGAATCCACGGGGAAATTAATATCAAGCATTTGCAGGCAAAGCTTTGCCACCTGCCGTAAGAAAAGGATTGCCTACTAAACACAGGTATCGTTGAACCTATCACTCTAGAGAGGGAATGTCACCATCTACCACCTCTTCTCATTGGTGCTGACCAACTTTTTCCAACACAACTGAACTGAAAAGATGCTGCCAGTAACACCTGAACCTAATGGAAGAGTATGGGATCAAGGGCCAGGGGGAAAGGAGGAATATGAAGTCTTTCTGTCAAGAGATCCAGCACAGACTTATCTATGTGCAGAGATGCTTCCCCGGGCATGGTAAAGGCGAGAGAGCTCTGCTCAGTTTTCCCCCAGCTCATTGCTAGGCCAGAAAAAACTTCACTGCTCTATACAGCTACTGGCAAATCCTTTGTTATAAATAAAACCACAGATACACCAGTGAACATAAACAGAAATTCAGGTAACACACCTCAACAACCATGTGTTGAGCAACTCACAAACACATCCACATAATGTAAACATGGAAAGACATGGTTCTGTCTCAAATCTCCAAGAAACTTCTCCTGATTCATTGATGATCAGTGTTAAAGAACTAGCAGCTTTTTTCAAGGTGTCTTACATGTCTCTACAAAATGCTTGAATGCTTTCCCCAAAAGCATGAAATATTGAAAGCTAATATTATTATTTGTCTGGAAATCAGCTTTTAACTGAGACTCCACTCTCTTAAGACTGAAGCTTTTGGCAATGCCATGCTCTACTATCATCTCCAGTCACTGCCAGTAGCTGCACCACACCACCAGGCAGAGTAATTCCAGATAATTCATCCCCAGTATCATTCCACCAGAGTCTGAACTGAGACCCATCCACTTCATGTCATCTCACAGCAGTATCAGGTGAAAGATTCTGTCTTTCCAAGGTGATGAAGACTAGCTCCCAAAGATTCCCTTGGGCAGTGTGGATCCTTGGTGAACAGTCACAGTGGAAAGGCATAAGGAACTGCAGAACATAACAGAAAGGGATGTGAAGTCTACATGCAGCTCCGAGCCTGCTTCCTCATTTCGCAAATGACTTTGTGAAGAAAGAACGAACTGTCTCTCTGTATTTCTCCCTGTATTTTTTTCTGCCCTCTCAAGGGGATGTTACTGACATGTGATCATTGATCATCACTGCCCAAACTGAAGTTGCATTTAGCTCTCCCAGGAACACCCCAAACTCAAGGGCATTCACACTTCTTTTCCCTGCACTGCCTGCAAAACTAAATAAAATCAAACTGATTATCTGTCTTAGTGTGCATTCATGATAAAGAGCTGTAGTACACCAGATCACAATACATCACCCAGTGAAGAGGCAACACTTAGAACATGCTGGTGTGCTTACAGTGTACAGAAATGCTCTGAGCCAGCCAGGCAGGTTGGCACATCCAGCCAGCTCCATTTAGCACCATGCAGAAACAGCAGCTCAGGTCCCAAAACCAGATCAGGCTATGCATGGTTGTGCTCTGTCTAAACTAATTTCCTCTATTTCCAGAGGGTAAATTAGCCCATACACAGTCGCACACTGCTGCAGCTCTACTAACACAAACCTAGCTTCAGGATTCCCGGATGGTACTGCAGCGCCCAGCTAGACGTGCTATATAGAAAAAGGGAACTGCAGCTCTAACCAGGAGATCTGGGTCCTAGTTCCAGCTCCAACCTGTTAAGAGACCTCAGGCAGGGCCATTCACTGCCTCTGGGATGGCAGGGGCCACAATGCTGGTTCTCCACCACTGTACAAGGGCTTTGGGAAGGAGGGATGTAAAACTTGCATGTAAGTGCAAAGCAGCAGGAAGGACGAACACATCCAACTGAAAGCTGCTCTGTACTATATCAAGGTAGCACTAGAGACTGAAAATGCCTATTTCTTTTCCAGCCACACAGCCTGATTGCTAAATATGGCTATCTAGACAACAATATATTTAAAGCGGAAAAGCAGCCAGTAAACATTCTGCAGCCTTCCCACCCAAGAAGTAATATTAAGATTGTGGTTAAAAGATATTCTCAGCAATTCCAAACTGGCATCATCACTCTAGGCAGTGGACGACTGCAAGGGACAGAGCAAGTTAGCTTCCTCTGCAAAAAGGAATGTCTCTGTGATAAAGAAGCTCTGGGATACATTTTTTTTCCCCTCTATGCCCTAAAACACTTTCTACTTCAGGATAGGGGGTTTTCTAGCCCTGCTGCTCTTGCTGGCACTACCAGGTAAGGCTCAGAGACTCCTCATTTCTCCTACGAACAGGATGCTCTCTCTGGTGTTGCATGCATTGCACGCTGTTGTGTGCTTGAGCACCTTTTATTCAGGCCATCTATAGCCAGGCACAGATGGCAGTGAGGGGAGGAAATGTTCAGCCTGAAATTTGCTTATTTTAACCATACAAGCTTTTGGGTTCTCATTTTTGTTTATAACAGTTCTGCATTATAATAGTTCTGTATTTTGTCCAGAAACTGAACTTCATTGTGGGACATCTGGCAGTCTTTGCCATTCTGAGACCTTTCTGTCCCACTATTGCAAAGTTCTCAGTCTGAAATCACCTAGCATATGGGGAGGAAAATCCACATTTGTTGCTCTCTCCTGATACATCATGGATCATGTATTGTGAGCAGTGTCATAGACAGGCTAGCTGCTGTTTGCTTTCTTACTGCAAATAAATAGTGAGTCCACAGAGAGGAACAATAGGAATAACAATGGAAAAAGGGTAGTGACACTAAGGCTAAGCATAGATGTTTATTTAGGCAAGCCTGCAGAGTTAAACTACTCTTCTCAGAGGCCCAGCGTGAGAGTCTCAGTGGTACAATGTAAGAAAAACTCGCATACTAAACTGTGACTAGTTGTAGCGTTATTTTCTGCTTTCTTTGGAAGGATCATGCATGGCAGGAGAGGACACGCAAGCGTTTCTGCACAGAGGCAGAGTCCTTCAGAGCTAACTGCTCATATGATGTGCACAAGAATTTACCTGAGAAGAAATTTTGGTGCAAGGAGCTGTCAGGAAAATCTTGTCTAGTCTTAGCCTTGAGTTCCCCTTTAAAAGAAAGGATTAACCTTAACCATACACTGCATCATTCAGTTGACCTGACAGACTTAGGACGTGGCTGGTTTTCTGTGATCATGACAGCACTTCGAAGAGAGAATTCTGGCACATATCAGTGTGGGGTATAGGGTGATCTGAAGAATATTCTGCTGTAAAGAATACAGATGGTGGCTGCACTTGAGGGTGGGCTATGAGGTCAACAGTGCACCGGGTGGGAGACAGCCAAAATAAATCAAGAATGATGTGTCATTTCCATTTTAGTTTCACAGCAAAACACGGTGTATCTAGACGCAGAGATCCCAACAGAGGTTATCAAGGACAGTGTAAAACCCTATATATAGCTCCATATAGAACCACAATATGTACCTATATGTATATAGAGGCAGAAGTGGCCAGGAAATTATTTTTTCTGTATGAAATCAAAAAGTTGCAAAGGGAAAAAAAAAAAAAAAAAAAGAATCAATATTTTACAGACTACCATCAAAATCCATGAATGCAATTTTGTAGGATTGTATGAATCAAAAATAAATGGGTTTGGGACAGAAATATTTCAAGTAAGTTGATGAAAACTAAAAAACGATACTTGCTTTTGCACAAAATTCTCCATTCTGTTAAAAGTGTTTTACAGTCACAGAAACCTTTCACACAGAAAACCTTTGATAACTCACGTAGAAGACTCGTGAGATGGAGCAACACCAACTTAAACTTGAGCACATGTATGAGGCATAGGAAATATGCTGAGGTGGCTCCATGTCCCAGCACCTGGGGAATCTGACAGCAACAACAGCCCTGGAACCTGATACAGCCCACATTCAGAAAGGGCAGCAGTAATCCAAATTTCCTATTTGCCACCCCAATCTCATCTCCCATGACCACCATCCTCAGACTGGGGCTGGTTATCTCCTTGTCTTCTGCATGTTCTCTTTGTGCTGATGCTAGCTATGCTCCTTTGTTGGGTGAGATGTACACCACGATGGGGATTGTCTTTTCCTGTCTTTTCTCCCTCTAATGAATCACCACTCTATTTTCTTTAGAACCTGTAAGGCAAAAAAAAAAAAAAAGGACTCCCTGTCCCTCCATTGTTCCTATTCTGTGATAGCCAAATCAGGAAACTTCAACATTTTATTTGATGCAAAATGGTGTCCTGAATTAGATGTCAACCTATTAGCAGAGGTAACTCTGATCAAAGTATCGTTAAAGTAGGCAGGACTGAAATGATGAATGACTTCTCATGGAAAATGATTAGAGTGTGGCTGAAAAAGCTCCGACTTAATGACTCAGGAGAATATCATCTTGAGAGCCATTTCCAGGGGAGAAACAAGCCACTGAATAGGATCATGCTGAAAGTTTTGGGTGAGTTAATCAAAGAATTAATGATCTTCTAAAAGTCAGCAATTTCTTACCACTTGACAAGAAAGATTACAGGTCAATGTTAAAGAGCTCCCTTCTGAGCCTGGAAATTTCCTGAGACACAGATAATTCCTGAATTTCTTTTTTTAAAACAGATTTTTGATACATACTAATGGTATAAACAAATTGCAGCCAACTGGTGGGGGGAGTCTGGCTTGGCTTCATTGACTAATGAAGTTTTACATTTACATCAGCAGATGAAACAGACTCCAAGCAATCTGAATCTTTGCTTGAATTTCTACCTGAGTTCATTTCTTTGCCACTGCTCATTAGTAATCCTCTGTATTTGTTTTAACACTTTACTTCCTTTTCTGCTTTCAGACAGCACGGGAGGCAGAAAAACAAAAGATACTTAGTGGAAGCTATTCTTTGATTTTTCTGATGTGACTGAAAAATGTGTATAGGAATCACATGACACATCTTTTTTCTAAGATGCTTCTTTTCTAACAGCATTCAAGTGCCCAAATAAGCAATTCAGTTTTCATATCATTCTCTAAAACGGTATGAATTTTC